GTGAAACCTCAGTTTCAACAGCCACAAAATGACACCCAAATGCACAGAGTGTAATTATATCCACATTATAACCTGGAATTAGGGAAAGATTCTTCCCCCAGAGGGTGGCTGGGCACTGCCCAGGCTCCTCAGGGCAGTGGGCACAGCCCCAAGGCTGCCAGAGCTCCAGGAGGGTTTGGATGATGCTCTGAGGGACAGGGTGTGACTCTTGGGGACAGTCCTGTGCAGGGCTGAGGGTTGGACTGGATGGTCCTTGGGGGTCCCTTCCAACTCAGCATGTTCTGTGGTTCTGTGATCCCATCAGAGCTTCCCACAAGAGGCTGGAGACAGAGGGTGGAGGGATCATGTCAGGTGGGATGATGGAAAATTTTCTCTGTCTTTATGAAATGGAACTTCAGTGACAAAGCAAAGGGAAAGTTGGTGTTTTTCTCAAGACACACCCACAGGGATTTTCAAAGGCATTGACCTGGTGGCCTTTGATCATGGTGTGGCTTCACCAGGGAAAAAGAGGAGAGTTACAGGTGTCATCTACTTCTGCAAGGCCTTTCAGATCACTCCCTGCACTATCCTTAGCTCTGAGTTGGAGTGGTGTGGGTTGGGTGGATAAGGAATTGTCTGGAGAGTTGTGTCCAAATTATCCCAGTTCAGGTGGAAACCAGGAACGAGTGGTGGTGTCCCCAGTGGTCCACACTGGGACCAGCACTGTTAAACACCTTCCTCAGTGACCCAGACTGGGATTGAGTGTCCTCATGCAGGTGACACCACGTTGAGGGGGATCCTTGTTGGGGTGCTGCCATCTGAGGGACCCTGCTGTCAGCACGAGGGGCTCAGCACCTCCCCAGCCCTTCTTGTGCCTGTCCTGGGAGCTGTTTGTATCTCCTGGATGCTCAGGGTTTGGTGTTTTCCCCTGGCAGATGTGGACGAGTGCTCCAGCAGCCCCTGCGTGCACGGCGACTGCGTCAACACCCCGGGCTCCTACCACTGCAAGTGCCACGAGGGCTTCCAGAGCACCCCCACCAAGCAGGCCTGCATTGGTAAGGGTTGTCCCTCTCCTTTTGAGGAGCTCCAGGGGTGTCAGAGCCCTGGGAACCCAAGGGGAATGGTTCTAAAGGGGAAACAAAGTGAGGAGCCCTCTAATGCCAACCAACCTCCAGCCACGTGTGTGTGTGGTGGGATCTGTCTTGGAGAAGTTCCCTCTGCCTTAATCTGCCTAAAAATTGCTTGGTGGCAATCAAGGAAGCCACAGAGTCCTTTCCAAGAGCAGAACTCTGTTTAAGGGATTTTATTTGGCAGAAGATGGGGTTTTGAGGCGAATCTGTGTCGGTGTAGGATGCCCAGCAAGGTTGTTCTCTCAGGGCCTTGCAGCACAAAGATGAGGGACTGCTAAAAGAGAATGATGGAAAGGAAACATTCCACCACACGAAACAAGAAGCAAAGGCAGATTTCCCTGTGGAATTCTTCATTTTTCCTCTCTTTCCAACCAAATGGTTTCCAAAGGACCCCTCAGTTTGCAGCGCGAAAAGCTTTCCGAATTTCCCAACTAGACGTTTTTGAGGCAAATTCTTCTGGAGTCTGAGAGCACTTGGCTGGTTTTCTCATGGAGATTATTAAACTGGAGATTGTTAAACTGGAGATTATTAAACTACTCCTGCCTTGCTGTGTCCCTCTCCTGGTAGACATCGACGAGTGCATCATGAACGGGGTGATGTGCAGGAACGGCCGCTGCGTCAACACCGACGGCAGCTTCCAGTGCATCTGCAACGCTGGCTTTGAGATCACCCCTGATGGCAAGAACTGTGTTGGTGAGGCTCCTGGTGGCCCCTGGGGAGGTTGGGACTGGGCTGGGATTATGTTCTCCCTTGGGGTTGAGGGTTGGTTTAATCAGATCTCCTTAAATCCCATAAATCCCCTTCCTACCCCTGCGCTCCCTTCAGCTCTAGGGTGTCTTAAAATGAGAGAGCTCAAGTGGGAAGGGGTTTTTATAAGGCTGTGAGTGCTCCTGTGGGTTTTGGGGTCCAGGAGCATCAGCAGGGCTGGGTTTGGAAGCAGGACATGCTCCAGCAGCTGGTGTCTGAGTCTTTCACTGGCTGAGAGTACCAGGGGTGCAGCATGACTTCTTCCCACCAGCAAAGGTGGGAAAGAAAGTTCCCAGCAGGACTTCTCCTTCTTCTCACCAGGAGAAGCAGTGGGAAGGTGTCCCTGCCCATGGCAGGGGGTTGGAGCAGATGCTGTTTAAGCTCCTTTCCATCCCAAACCATCCCTCTTCCTCAAGGAAGGAGGAAGAGTTTGCAACAAGAGTTTGAGATGGGACTCAGAGGGTTTTTGAGCACAAGAGGGTCTTGCTGCTGCTCTCAGGCTCAGCCCAGATGTTTGTCCTCCCCAGACCACGACGAGTGTGCCACCACCAACATGTGCCTCAACGGGATGTGCATCAACGAGGACGGAAGCTTCAAGTGCATCTGCAAGCCCGGATTCGTTCTGGCTCCCAACGGGCGCTACTGTGTCGGTGTGTGGATCCCTGAGCTTGTTCCCTGCCCAGTCCCATCCCCTGGGGTTCCTGGTGTGACTCAGAGCACAGGGAGCTGAGAGCAACCAAGGCTGTTGCCTGGCAGCTCCTGCTCTGCCACCAGAAATCTGCCTCTTCCCCCCAGAACGGGCACGAGGGAAAATGTTGATGTGTCCTTCTGCCCCTCCATGTGTCCTTCTGCCCCTCCATGTGTCCTTCTGCCCCTCCATGTGTCCTTCTGCCCC